CTATCTGCTCCACTGCATCGGGTGTACCAATTGCCTATACACGAAAAAAAATCGTTATCTTGTTACGCAATTATGAAAATAGTTGCCTTTATTTACATTCGTATGTTATAAAACATAAGGAAATTAATTACAGTAATCGTGCGCTTATATATTAGCTAGCGACAAACAGTAATTATTAATACATAATATTTTAACTCCCATCTTTTACTTACGCTTACGATGACAAACGCCAATGAACAAATCAATATCGAGTTAACCATAAACATCACTAATGCGATGTACGTGAACAGTTTTTCTACATTCTTAGAGAAATTAATAATTTTCTGATGTCTCTGAATGATTTCATCTGTTGTGATTGATTGGTGCTTTTTTCCACTTTCCTTAGTTGCGAAATTCATCAAACAGTAACACAGGATATTCATTTGACCGCCTACATGTAAAACCTAAAAATAAGAAATCCGCTGTTTATACTAAAATTATAATTCTTACTCTTCTTTATAACCCAGATAATCAAGCGTGTCTCAACAAAATGGCGTGGTTGCTTATAATACTGACAACTTGCTGTATATTCGTCAATTTGTTCAAATATACCGACATTGTAGCAATACGCAGACAATAATGTATATATGTCAGCGGTTTAATGGCAATTTAGTAACATTACTTCGTCAGTAATGTGATTGCATTGCATGATGTTATAGTTTAATACAGATTATTATAGCAACATGACGGTAAGAGAATAAATTTTGATAATGAAAATTTTTTAATTGTCGGCAAGTTGCTGGCAAGTTGCTACTTAAAATTGTCATATCGTGAAGGCATCAACTTGTCAACAAATGCAGACTCAGTTGCTGCAATTCTAGTAGTAACATAAATTTATTTACAAGCAGTATGTCAGCAATAAGACAGACTGGTATCTGGAAATCAAATTATTCATATTTCTCAAATTTACGTTTTATATAAAAGGTCGTCTACAATAAGAATAATATAGTAAAATAATTTGTAAGTTGTAAGAAATTAACTAATCATGTCGAATGTGAGGAGAATAATCGACTACAATTGATCCATTTCTTACAGCTTACAGTTTATTACACAATATTATTCTCCGTTGTAGACGGAAAAAATATACAGAACATAAGAGAAACAAATTCCTCTAAACAGCAATCATTTACACAAAAAAGCTCTGATCAGATTTCAATATCGTTAGATGATTTGTTTCTTTTATTTGATAACGTTACAACTATTGTTCCCGATAACTGCTTACGTTCCTTAACTTACCAATACGACAAGTAAAGAATTTATAACACCTGTACCCATGCTGACCATGATACAAATCACAGTTTGCGTTAATAAGATAATTTTGTAAGTTCTTTTTGTGTTCACGTCAAAAGGAAGTTCCATTCTATGGATGTATAACAACTCGGATGTGTGATCCGTGACATCAACATCAGCCAAGATAACATTTACGCAGTATGTAAAAGCACTGACTAATTGAAGAAGTACTATCACGATATTAATGCGATTCGACAGTTTCGCTTTGCGTATTATTTCATGCATGTAGATTTCATTGTCAGCACAACTATCCCAGTCTTCCGTCATAATATCCAAAGTTTTGTAGAATTTTCTGTGGATGATTTGGTTCGTCGATTATCCTATCGATCACAAAGAAGATCATTTCAAGGCCTAAAAAATTGCCATCTCCAAAAATTACTGGACAGTTCTAATAATATGCTTCAACTTTCTCCAATCAGCTTCAACGCTTTTTACATTTTTTTTAAATTAAATAAAAATGCAATGCAATATTGAACACGTGTAAATATACATGTGGTTATTAAACGCAACCATATCTTCGAATGTGATTTGATCAATTAACACAAAATGTGATTGATTTAATCATTTAATTAGAGATTTTCTTTCATCACGTAAACTGTTTAAAAATGCATGTCACATCATGTCACTTAACTGTCATTTGATTATAAGCAATTTATATCATCAATTATATCATTATATATGTCAATCTCTCATTATACTTACCGTTGGTTTACCCAAAGCACAATAACTTTAGTCGTGAATTTCATATATGACATACAGCTACTCAAACAGTCCATCAAATTGGAAAGTTCATCGGAATTAAAATGTATCAAAAAATAACGATAATGGTAGAACTCCATAATTATTGTTATAATAATCCAAAATAGTTTGCAAAACGGAATGCGCGAATCTGGCCATATTCCGTACAAAGTGCAAATAACTTCTAGCGTGCGATCAATCATTCTTTTACGGATCATTATATTCTGTTTACTTCTGTTTCTATACGAGAACAAACACAAAAATATATTTTATAACAAATACTTTAAACGAAGCAACAGGAAATACAATGAATTTGATCATGTACTTCTGCCAAGTACGTTTCGATGGATTGACGTACATCACACAATTGTTGCATACGTAAAGACTGGTCGTCCCTAAGAGGTCATCACACGAATTTACCCTTGAACTGTCAATGGAAATAGCTCATTAAATATTTTTACCGTATTCCCTGTAAACTACCCATACATCTGCTGTGGGTTCTGACAATTTTAATAAAAAAGAGGAAACAGGTGCGGTCATTTCTCTCTTTCTCCGAGAACCGATGACGCAAATTGCTCTCTTTAAATAAACAATGATGCGCGTGAACATAGATACGGTATTCATGACTGCGAGTCATGCTCAGTAAGCTTTGAAAATATTTTAAAGTTTGGAAGACGATAGAAAATAAGAAAAAAAAAAATTACTACGTATCTATATATCTTGATGTACCTTCTACATTGCAAACTCGATTTGAAGAAAAATCCATGATTTATCTGTCCATAAAAAAACCGAAATGATATAGCACTTTTAAACAGAGAACTGGATAGTTTCCTATAACTTACATATATATTATTTCATTAAATAAATTATCTCATGGAATAATATTTAGTAAAACACGAAATATTACAATATGTGTTAATATATAACTAGTGAAGGTATTTACATGTCTGTGTACCCGCTTCACGACTATTGATTAAAAATTGTTGAGATGAACGTGATGTTTATTGCATCGCCAACAATACTGATAGGTAGGATCCCGAAGCATTCATAATCTATAACAACGTTGTTTACATTAGGAATTGATATTTAAATAGAACATTGCTATGACGAATACCTATAATATTTCTATAACAAAAAGGCACTGATGAAAAGAATTTCGTCTAGTTAATAGTAAATATATATTGTTCAATAAAGATAGAGTTAATTATCAAAGTTTTCTATTCAGATTAAATCTTACACTTGTAAAGGATTCTAAGGTGAGATCCATTATCTTGCCAGCTGTTAGCGTCAATCGTTTTTGTGATCTTAATATTATGAGTAATAAAATGCGACTGTCTTTAGATTTCAAATCGTACCATGCACAATTATATGTTGCAAATCCGATTTCTTTGCTCTAAGGAAATAAAAGTAACAAAGAGATTTTGAATTGTTACTTTAATAAAAAAAATTTAATTCTATGCCTTGCTTTATAAAAAAAATATATATAAAATTATTTACACTGTACTTAATAATTTCTTTTATTGTTATAGTAGTTACTTTTCATCACTGACCTTACTATTTAAATATTCTCCGGCGTAACAAAATATAAATGCTTCCAGATTTGTTGCTATGAAAAACGAAAGGCATTTCAATATCTGCTCCACAACATCGTCAGTACCAAGAGCCTGAGAAAATAAAAAAATATAGTAGCGTTATGCATTGTTTAATGCTCAAACAAGCAAAATTTTTTTTACAGAATATAAAAATTTCTGTCTTCAGTATGATTATTATACTTACGGTTACAATAAGAAAACCCAGCGAGCACATTACTATTGTGCTTGACACAAATATCAATAACGCAATGTACGTATACAAACTCTCGGTTCTTTCTGAAATTTGAATAATTTTTTGATGCTTTAGTACAATCTTGTTTATCGTGATAACAAGTGATTTTTGTTCACATTCAATTTCTTTAGGAATAAATTCTGCCAACCAACGTTGCAAAACATCCATTTGACCGCCTACATGTATAATCTAAAACAAAAGATATGATCTTTAATTAAAATTTTTTAGCAACATATAAAAAAGTTAAACTATCAATGGTTTATAAAGGAGAACAAAACAAATTATCAGCAATTTATAAATATAATTTCTAAATATGTGTTTACTAAAATATCTTATACAGATAACACTCTTCACGGAAATAGTCTTTAATTTTGTAGAGTTTTGTTTTTATCATTAAAGAGCAAAGTATTAATGTAGATATAATATTGTACAAAGAGAGAGAGAGAGAGAGAGAGAGAGAGAGAGGACGACACAAAATTTCAAATTATTATAAATATATACATACTTTTAGTGATAATTACTTATGCAGTCATAACTTACCATAACCAAAAATATGATATTTATAACACCAGTTGCCCAACTTGCAAGAATCAAATGCATAAATTCTATGATTAAAACTACTCTATACATTCGCTGCGTATTAACGCCGAAGGGAAGCTCTAATTTCTTGATAAGCGGCAACTCGAATTTTTCTGTAATATCGACATCAGCGATGATAGTTCCTATGGAATACGCAGAAATCCCCATAGTATGAAGAATGAGTATCATATTAGTGATACGATCCGATATTTTTGCCTTGTCTGTCATTACGCGCATGCTGACGTCATTCTTAGCACAATCAATCCAGTCGTCCGTGATTAACGCCAAAGACTCCACGAATTTTCTGTGGACGATTGTTCCTCGATCATGCTGTCGAGTTCAAATAAAAGTCCTATTCATCGCGTCACAGTGTACCGTATGTTCAAAAATATTTTATCCCCGAAATAATATTAACATCACTCTCTTTTTTCAGCGAAATTTTTGCTTATATATTTCTGTAATTTTCATGTTTTTTCCAAAATCAAGTAATAGTAAAAAATAAAACATGTGCATGGATATAATTATAAAAAAGTCTATGTAATTTTTTAGTGTAAGCAATATTATGGTTTTTGATTTTAATAATTGCATATATCTTAATTAATACGTATACATCGATAACGAAATTATAAATGACAATGAAAAATTTTTCATTTAAATAACATTACACACTTGCTTTACTTACCGTTGATTCACCCAAAACGCAATGAGTTTAGTAGTTAGATTCGCGTGTGCTAAGAAGCTGCATAAGCAATCTACCAAGTTAAAAAAATTCTGCGCATTTAAATGCATCGAAAAATAGAGACAATGACAGAGTCCAATAAATCCTAGTGTAATAATCCAAAATAATCTGCTGATTACAATAATAATTCCGTCTAAACCGATGCCACACCAAGGAAGCATACGAAACACAATATGGTTAATTGTGCTTTTACGAGTCATAACGCTTTATTTCTTTTTGCACTCGGTTTATTCAAGCAAACGCATTAGAAAATATTTAATAGGATAAGAATTGTTAAAGGAGAATTTTTAAAAAAATTAGTGAACTCAGAGATATATCTCCTAATGACAGCACACTGTATATTATTGGACTACTCTGCGTAAAGATTGATGAGTTGTGGGTGGTGTTCAGGCGGATGCACCTCTAGCAAATCAATCAATGAAAGTTGCTCATAAAATATTTCTATTGGGCGTGCAAGTCTCAAATATAGCCGTTATGTTTCCTCGAAGCTTTGTGGAAAAAAAAGAGAAGAAATAAGATATCCTCGATACTCTGGTATTGACAATGCAGCCATGAAGTGCGTACATTAAATTTGTAATGATACATATGGAGAGCTACACGTATCGTCGGTTCTACGAGAGAATGTCGTCAATTTTTGTCCATCACAGCATTACAGCTTTCCCTAGAAATCGTCTACTGGCTCTCTCTATTAAATGCTGGACGATAATGTTTCATAAGAAACAATTGGTGGCAGTGCCGATGTTGGCGATGTAACTATTGATTTTATTGCCTTAGTATTGTATAGCATTAATTCGCGATAGTATCGTCACGCAGCAAATGCTGATTCTTGAAACATATAATTGCACTAGCTTTTGTATAAAGTTGCATATAATTCTAATTATTTTTCTCTACTACATGACAAATTTTTGTGTAATACAGATAAATCTCAAGCAAGAAAAAAATTTTTTTTTTAAACTTAAATAATATAGGTGCGTGCATATCGTTAATATATTTAATATATATTTAACGTGCAAATGAAAATTTTTTGGCAGAGAATAATAAGATATTTTATCTCTAAATTTGCAAGGAATGAATCTATGATTTTTAATTAATATAAAATCTGACAATGTTATATGATGTATTGTAATTTAAGAGAAGACGCGAATTATATTATTGTTCTAAATTCATATTTCAGGAAATATACTGTATTACAATGTCAATTCCTAGAATTACTAATATACAAATAATTCCCCAGTAATGTCACTTTTATAATGTCATTATTTTGACGTTAAAATGACATCTTAAATGTCTTTTTACTTGAGTCATAACACTTTTTTGTTAAAAAAGAAATCGACTGTCTAGTTTATTGTATTGCTAATAATACCGATAAATATGATCCCAATTCATA